GGGAAGGAGACAAAGGATACTGATGACATCATCACGTTGTCACTCAGCTCTTCCACTCATATTAGCACATTCCTAGATTATTATTATTATTATTATACAGTATTTATAAAGCGCCAATAGTTCGCTCAGCGCTGTACATTACAAAGGGGGACAGAACATGTGACAGAACAATACCAATACAATGCAAAACATGAGGGGATCGAGGGCCCTGCTCTTTCAAGCTTACAATCTAGGAGGGAGGGGATGGTGGCACAGGAGGAGGTAGCTGTGGGGGATGGAGTGGTAGGAAGAGTGGAGGAGGTCGGCAAGTTAGCAGGGGGCGGGGTAGGCTTCCCTGAAGAGATGGGTTTTCAGGGTGCGCCTAAAGGAGAGGAGAGTAGGTGATAATCTGATGGGTTGGGGCAGGGAGTTCCAGAGGATGGGTGACACCCTGGAGAAGTCCTGGAGGCGGGCATGGGGGAGGAGGAGACCAGGGAACTAGAGAGAAGGAGGTCTTGTGAGGAGCGGAGTGTGCGTGCTGGGCGGTACTTGGATATTAGGTCAGTGATGTAGTTCGGGGCAGTATGGTGGACAGCTTTGTACGTCAGCGTTAGGATTTTGAATTTGATCCGTTGCGCAATCGGAAGCCAGTGGAGGGATTGGCAGAGGGGGGTGGCGGAAACGGAGCGGTTGGAAAGGTGAATGAGTCTGGCAGCCGTATTCAGGATGGACTGAAGCGGGGATAGCCAGCCGCGAGGCAGGCCAGTGAGGAGGGAGTTGCAGTAGTCGAGTCGCGATATGATGAGGGAGTGGATGAGCTGTTTAGTGGTTTCTGGAGTTAGGAACGTGCGGATTTTGGCGATGTTGCGGAGGTGGAGTCTGCACGAGTTTGTTAAAGAGTGGACTTGGGGCTGGAAGGATAGGTTGGAGTCCAAAATGACACCAAGTACTCTGGCCTGCGGGGCAGGTTTGATGGTGGCGTTGTTGGACATGATGGAGAAGTCAACGGGGGGTGGTGTCCGGGCTGGAGGGAAGACAAGAAACTCGGTTTTGGAGAGGTTCAGTTTAAGGAAGTGGAGCGACATCCAGTCTGATATGTCGCTCAACAGGTGTGTGATTTGGGCAGAGACCGAGGGGGTGAGGTGGGGGGGTTGAGAGATAGATTTGTGTGTCGTCGGTATAGAGGTGGTAGTTGAAGCCGTGAGAGTGTATGAGTTGGCCAAGGGAGGAGGTGTAGATGGAGAAGAGAAGGGGCCCGAGGACAGAGCCTTGAGGGACCCCAACAGAGAGGGGGAGTGAGAGGGAGGTGGTGGCATTATAGGTAACGCTGAAAGAGCGTTGTGACAGGTAGGATGAGAGCCAGGAGAGAGCAGAATCTCTGAGGCCGAGGGAGTGTAGTTTTTTTTTGAGGAGGGGGTGGTCGACTGCGTCAAAGGCCGCAGAGAGGTCAAGGAGTAGGAGCACTGAATAGTGGCCATTAGCTTTGGCGGTTAGCAGGTCGTTGGAGAGTTTGAGTAAGGCAGTTTCGGTGGAGTGTAGGGGACGGAAGCCGGACTGTAGGGGATCGAGGAGGTTGTTGTCGTTGAGGTGAGAGCATAGGCGGGCGTAGACTAGGCGCTCGAGGAGTTTAGATGTAAATGGGAGCAGGGAGATGGGTCTGAGGTTGTTCGGGTCATTGGGGTCCAGGGAGGGCTTTTTAAGTATGGGGGTGATGTTTGCATGTTTCAGAGGGAAGGGAAAGTGCCGGAGGAGAGGGAGAGATTGAAGATGTGGGTGAGGGAGCGTAGGATGGAGGGGGAGGGAGGTTGTAGGAGTTGTGTGGGGATAGGGTCAAGGGGGGGCAGGTGGTGAGGCGGGCATCAGAGAGGATCTTGGAGACTTCTTCAATGGCAGTAAGGTCAAAGGTGCAGAGTGTTGGGGGAGCTTCAGTATGAGGAATGTAGGGTGGGGTGGGAGAGGAGGTCAGAGCAGTGGTGGGGCCGTGGGAGAGGGGTGTAGAGGGGGTAGCTGAGTGAGGGGGAAGGGGGTTGGAGGGAGTTTGAGCAGCGACGAAGTCCCTGTGGGTTATGTCGAGGGGGAGGGGGGATGAGGGGGTAGCTGTGTGAGAGGGGACAGGTTGAGAAGGCGTGTGAGTTGCGGCAATGTCCTTGCGAATTGTGTCAATCTTGTTTTTGAAGTGATTGGCAATCTCAAGGGCAGTGAGTGAGGTGCTGGGTGGAGGTGGGGGTGGCGAGAGTAGAGAGTTGAAGGTGGAGAAGAGTCGGCGAGGAACATGAACATGAGCATAGAACATGAGCATTGCAGCACAACTGGTTGTCTAACTGTGCTTTTTTTCTGGTCCCCCAATCTGAGCTATGCTGTACAGGGGTTTGCAAGAGGATGACATAAGGTCAAATGTAGGTACTTATACAACTTGCATTTAATAAATAGATTTAGTGATGTATTAATGTACGCATAGCTGCATTAATTTGAGTTTTTATTTCTGCATGGAGTTCAGCTTTAATGCTTGTATAAGTACAAGTACTCATCATTATGATTTTTTTTAGTATTAATTTAGCACATGATGAATAAATATAAAATATGTATAAAGTTAGGAACAGTTTCAAAGAGAGTATGTGTGTATTAGAAATAAGGTAATGATGAAATGCTAATGGAGATATTATTAATTATTAATCAGTAGACCTCTACTCTTAGGCTAATCATTTTAACTTTTCTATTGATATTTTACATTTCTTCTTTGTTTCCCAATTGTGATTAATGTTTGATTCCTTCAAGGGAGTTTTTATATAAATCCTAAGTGTGATTCCAGTGCTGATAGTGTCTTTAAAATGATTTGGATGTAAAATAACACACTTCAAATAGCTTCCAAATATCAATTCTTATCATCTTCAATAAATGTCATGTCTTGTAGATTGTTCCAGCAGGTCTGCATTAGCTTTTGTAAAGTTTTATGGAAATGTTAAGCCACAATAACTTTTTCTTCGTTATCTATGTTCTCCAGATCCTGTTAAACAAATTCTGATTATTTATTGTGTTTTGTTGTTTATAAAACCTAGTTACTTGGTGCTAAAGTATTGCTATGGGTAAGGAAGATAGTTAAGGATGAGTTCTCTCCTGAGCCAAATATTAATACCTATAATTTTTTTTAGACAGGACGTCACTCTTGAGAACAATAATTATTCAAATGAGCTATTAGAAATTATTAAATTCTACTGGTGAATAAAAAAATGAGTGAATTGCATGGTAACTTCAAAACTGTCTACTCATTTGGAGTTTAGACAAGACTAAAAAAAAAAAAGGATTGATGGCATTTGTCTTTTTAAAATGTTTCTACTGCTCAGTTTTTAGGTGTATTATTAATGTTCTGTTTGATTCTGAAAGGGGATGATTGGGTGTAAGCAGCAGGTGATTAACAATCATACGACAGTGTGTCATTGATTAAAGACTACATGACCAGCTCATTTCTTTCCTTTTTGCAACTACTTGAGATTATTGATTGATAATGGCAATAGACATTGACAGATATTCAGCAGATATCTGACTACAAAGTGCCTCCTGTTATTAGTCTTCAAACAATTTAAGTTTGCAATAGAGCAGGGGTGCTCAAACTATGGCCCGTAGGCCACATGTGGCCCGCAAAGCCCTTTGATGTGCCCACGACCTCCAAACAGGGAAGTGCTTGCCCATGCTCTGGAATGACAGGCCAGCAAGCTTCAACTATGGCCCGTAGGCCACATGTGGCCCGCAAAGCCCTTTGATGTGCCCACGACCTCCAAACAGGGAAGTGCTTGCCCATGCTCTGGAATGGCAGGCCAGCAAGCATCAGTGGGTTGCTGACTTGCCATCCCAGAGTATCAGAGTAGATGGAGCTGCCAGCGGAGGAAGCAGGTAGCCATGAAGGTACCAGGAGATAAATAAGCCAATGCATCCTCTGTAGCTCCACCTCTTGTCCCAGGCGGAGTGATACCAAGTGCACTTCACCTTAAACTTTTCTAGCAACCTGGAGAGCAATACCAGCAGAAGCTGGAAGAAGAAACGGTCAGTGTATTAAACATCATATACACTGCACTTTTGCAATGGTCATATTAGCACTTTTAAAAAAAGGTCATTAGGCTACTTTCACACTGATCTGTGGGTGCAGTGCAGTGCACCTGTGGCTTTCCTGCGGGTTAGCTGCCCTGAGCCATAGACTTTGATTATTTTCCGTGGTTTCAGTGCGCTTTCAGAAAGCGTACCAAAACTCCTTAATGCGTGAGTTTTGATGCACTTTTAGAAAATGCACCAGACTCACAAGATGTAATATAAGTCTGTAGCTCAGTGCAGCTAACCCGCAGGAAAGCTGCAGCCACACTGAGCTGCTGCACCCGTTGATCGGGTAAACCGCAGCATATCAATGTGAAATTAGCCTTTTAGGGGGCTTAGGACAATAAGGGCACATTTACATTTGCAGTTTGGGGGGCGGTAAAACCCCATAGATCATTGTGTCCCATTTGCCAGTTAACAAATCACTTAACTGGCCCTCACCATTACAAGGGTATTAACTGATCATCCAGAGATCATCAAATGAGTGTGATAGATAGTCATCTATAAAAAACATGCATGCTCTGTCCCAGGGATGCATGTGCAAAAAATAATATTTTCACTAGGGGGAGGAGCAAGTGTAAAGTAGAAAGTGATGCTTATTAGCAGTATCAGATCAACTTTTGCATAACATTCTTGTGACCTTGAGAACATTCATGTATTCCTTAGACTCTGTTAGTGTTGAACTGGAATAAGTGACTTTTAACAAACTGTGTACACAAATTTATATTGGCATGCTTCACATGCCAGGATACTTTTCTCTTTGTACATTACTAAATAATAATTCAGTTTTAACATTGACTAGGTCTTTATCATGTTCTTGTTGTAGGTTATTGTAGCTCCGATTTTGCATTGCAATGTCAGTGTATTGACTACAATTTTGGAAATTAATTTAAAGCAATCCTAAAGGTTATTTCTTTATTGGAAAATAACAAACATGTCTATATGTACCTGCTGTGTGCAGTGGTTTTGCACACAGCAGCCTAGATCCTCCTCTTTTTGGGTCCCCCACAGGCTCTCCTGGCTCCCCCTTTCTGTCAGGTGCCCCCACAGCAAGCAGCTTGCTATGGGGGCACCCACTGCTTTGTGTGTCCATTCACACACAGAGTCGAGGTTTGGCCCTCTCCCTCCTTTCCTCATTGGCTGACTGGCTGTGATTGACAGCAGCGGGAGCCAATGGCTCCTGTTTGCTGTCTCAGCCAATGAGGAGGCAGAGACCCTGGTCAGCCGAAGCTGTCATTCACATCAACGGATCGCGATGGGGCTCAGGTAAGTATTGAGGGGGCTGGGGGCACTGCTGCACACAGAAGGTTTTTTACCTTCTTGCATAGAATGCATGAAGGTAAAAAACCTTCAGCCTTTACAACCACTTTAAAACAACACCATGAATCTTTTAGCCAAGAAAAGTAAATTGCACATTTCATGACTGTGGAGAGCATACTTGACAAACATATACCATTACTGCACACAGCACAAAACAATCTTGTTAGATTTTGCCAGCTATTTATTGACTGACATTCTATACTGGATTTGCCTTCATACCCACTTCACTTTCATATTCTAGAAGTTGCTTGATTAGTGATCATCAAGTGCTCTTGTGCTTTTTTTTCTATCTTACAAATGAAACACTATTGAACAGAAAAGCATCATCTGTTTAACCCCAAGCTCAGAAAGGTATCAGATTTTCTTGAAAACACTTGTCTGCTTGATTGGTATGTACACATAGGTTTGTGACCTGAATATTGATAAAGGTAGGATATTTAAAACAGACTATTAAATTAATAATCTGGTGTTAACCTAAAATGTGAAATTATACTTTATCTAAATGCCCATTATTTTATTCTTAATTGCATCCAGTTTTGACTGCCTCACTTTGCTGCTGTACTCAATAACACATGCAATGGCTACTGTGGCTATTGTTATGAGCTTCTCCAAAATCAATAGTACTGAAATAAATTGCATGGGGCAATATCTAGTTTTTAATGGATATATTGATGGAAAAACACATAAATTAGGATTCTTGTAGTGTAGGCTGTTAAACAGATTGATTGAAATACAGATTTTCACAGTAACTAAACCTGTACAAAAACTCAAAATCTCATAGACAGTGATATAATAATGAAAGACACACCATTAAAGCCCAACTGATTGCAGTAATGGTCCAACATGAAAGGAACATTTTCACTGATTGTACGTGTCACATGCTGCTAAAAGTTTATGATACACTAACCTCTGGTTCATCCTTACACATCCTATGAAGCATAGCATCAATGCTTAACTAAGACATTAAATCAATGTAGAGAGATCAAAAATAATGAATGCAATTTTAACTTGCCATGTAATCATGCAAAATGTGTATGCACAAATACCAACACTCCTTATCCACTAAAGCATGTTGTAAAGTTCAGCACAATATAACACAAAGGAGACCCCATATATTACATTTTGTAAATGCTATAAAATGAACAGTACTTGGCTAACTGTAAAGGAAAACAGAGATACATTCGTGATTAAAAGAGACCATTAGAGATTGGTGTATATGCACAAAATAACTACAAGTATAATCACAGCTCTTTTAGCTCTTTTTCTTGATTACACTATAGTTGATTAGGATAAAAAAATAACATCAGTCCAAGTTCAACTCAAAAAAGCTTTAGAAATATGTTTGCTTTTTACTGGAAAGGATCCTAAAATGTTAGCTAATCTTCATTTTTAATAAATGTAGTCTTAGCAATCATCATCATCTCAGCAATCATCATCCCAGTCCCAAGTGAAATCAACAACAAATTTGCACAAATTGAAGATTCATAGATTAGAATAGCCAAACCAAAGACTTGACCCTAAAGGCTAAGTCTGCCTTTAAAAATAATAAATGAGTTTTTGTTTTTGGTTCACTACGTATTTGAAGTAAATGCATACTCTTCTTTATCTAAAGTTGAAATGTGAATTTCTATAAACATGATATACATCTCTTGTTGACTGCTGTCAGTTGCTAATGCTCAAAGTAGACGACCTTACTGTATAAGTTGTAAGGGGCAACTACCACTACCCTCTGTACCTCATTGCTATACATATGCCAAAGCTGGCTTTGTAATTTTTATATGGTCATTGGAATCTTTCCATTTAAGGTACATCTCTGTATTTGTATTCTTTCTGTAACCCCAATAAAAACTCTATGCTTAAAAAAATAATAAAAAATGCACATATTTTTGCAGGAAAACAATGTGTACTTTGTTATTACTCTATTATTTTTCATAGGAGCCTGCAAAGTATTGTACTCATGATCAATGAATTATAGGTGCAATGCCAAGCTCCTGCAGACTATTCCTCTAGCTCTCTGACTGCACCTAGGTATGGACTTTCAGTTGGAGAGCTGGAGGAAGGGTCAATGAACTATGAGTGTGGTGATTACTGCACTTGTGTTCCACTGATAACTATAACTCTGTTTGCTATGGTAGCAGATAGGGCTTGCAGTTCATTCATTCATTCAGAGATCTCTGTGAATGAATGATGTGGCTCTATGGTTGGGGTAAGAGTATTCTTGGGGTGGAGGTGCCTCTACCTGGCACCATGTTACATGTTACACCTAAATAAATACGGGTGTAATATATCACATGGTATAAAATATGGAGTTAGCTTCTAATCCCATTAAAATACACTAGTGCTATGTGAAGCTGGCTGTTCAAACAAGTAATAAAAATGTAAAGATACATTGGGGTTGATTTACTAAGGGAAAATAATCTGTGCACCGCAAGTGCACTCCAAGTGCACTTGGAAGTGCACTGAAAGTGCAGTTGCACTGGATCTGAGAAGAACATGCAAGGAGATTTAAATAAAGCATTTTTGCTTGCATACGATTGGAGTGCACAGTATATTTGCCTTTAGTAAATCAACCTCTCTGTCTACAAGTTGCATGCAGCCCATTACAGTGAAGGTCCATTTATAATCTGGAGTAGTAGGAGAAAACAGGCAAGCTCCTACGGTAACTAGAAGTGTGGGAGCTTTGTTTGTTCAGCATGGCCTAGCATTCAGGCATGCAAAAATCAATTAAAGTTGCCACAGATGTGTGTAGGTACCTTCACTTGTCTATGCTTTTTACCTATCAGCGGCTTTTTTTAAGTGACAAGAAAAAAAAGGCCTGCATACCAAAATGGGAAAAAACACCTAAAAGGCCTACTCTGGAGTTACAAAAAGAATTAGGTTGGGGTTATCATGAACAAAGGAGGTTTCCCTAGTTACTAATTATAATGGGTTACTATTTATCTATTTACAGCACTAATTACTCAAAATGTGACTGCATTTTCACAAAAAATTCAGCTTGCATTTGCTCCATTAGCTACAGAAACTATGCCAGTAAGATATGTTACTTTCTGAAGAGAAGTCTACCTACCTGCTGCCTCCTTCCTCTATGTAGATCCTGTTGTGCACTGAGACATATGTTACTGATGGACAGATTGCTTTTTTGGCTAAGCGTATGTAGCGCTGCCCTCTTGAGGGCCGCTCGATTTGATAGAGTTCCCCTAAGCTCTGCACGGCCAGGCAACATGCATTTTCCACATCTTCACGCACAGAGTCAGTAAAACAGTCCTATTTGATTTGTTTTTTTTTGTTGTTTTTATTGAGTTGTTAACAACTTGGATGTGGTCTAGGGTTATATGGGATGCCCAAGGAACTGAAAACTTGAAAACAAACTTCTTACCAAGCTGTACACTGTACAAAAATGTGGATCAGCAAAAATAGCACCGTCTCTGTAAGGAGCCCTCAAGTACCCTTGATGTACCTCCTCAGACCCCAGATGAATCCTTCCTCTTGCCCAGCTGCACTGAGGGTATCCCTGGGCCAAGGATCGCAAGATCTGCCGTTTAAGTAGTACCGGATGAGAACTAGTTGGGTTTTGCACCTGACTGCCCCCTCTCTTTATCTGGCCCAGGGGGTGTAGAAATACTCACACTGTCCTGTCCTGTTTTCTTGATGGGTTGCAGCTGATTTCAGGCCTTACGCTGAGCTGGCTCCTTCCTTGTTAACAGGATTGTCCTCCCTAGGATAGGAAACTTGGCATAGTGGAGATTCTTCTTTCCAGTAACCAGCCTGTAAATAGACTCCCCTCCCTGTGGCCCCTCCCAGGCTCCACTCTCCAGCACCTTCTCTCTGTCCATCTTCAACCCAACTCCCCTGCTGCACAGGCTCTGTCATATTTAAGGGTTCCCCTTGGCCACCATGCCCATCCTCCTGCCTGGGGATTGGCCAAGTTCCCCTAAACATGCAAATCTGGGCCTCCTCCCCTCCTCTGCCCTTCTATCAGAAAGTTCTAGAAGTTTCTGGAAGAGTGGGAGGACTTCAGAAGCCCTGACCTGTAGAGCCTCCCTGCCTGTGCTGAGGTGAACTCACTACCTCACTCCCAGGCTGATTTATCCCAGTCTTCTAACAAGACTCTGACTAAAATCAACAAATCCTATCTAGCACTAGAGGGCACTACACGTAGAACAGGTCTCACATTCCCAGGCAGCATCCTTTAGTGGTGGTAAGGGATAGCTTAGATAATTTCACCTTTGTGAAAAAAAAATGCACACGTTGAGGGTAAAACAAATAGCATTTTTATGTTTTTTTACACAAGAGCCTGCAAAGCATTGCGCCCACAATCAATGGATAATGGGTGCAATCTCAGGCTCCTAAAGACACTAACTCCAGTTTTCTGCCCATATCTCTATACGGGCTTTCAGTTAGAGAGCTGGAAGAAGTGTCAATTGACTATGGTAACACTGATCAGTGCAGTTCATTAGTTCTTTAACACCAACACCTCCTGGCCCTTTAAGAGATTTCATATTCCGGGAGGCAGGGCGGGGTTTCTGATCATGTGACTTCTGTGACTGACTGTCACAGTGGTCAAATGATTGGAAAGCTCCTGACTGCAAGTAGAAATCAGGAGCTTTCCGACAGCCGCCAGTAACTCTGTCGGGTGCTGGAGAATGTTGCTTGTTACACCCAAAATATGTTCCAGAAAGTGAACCTATCCTTCAATTACAGAAAAGAAGATAACAGCACATAGATAAGCTATGCTGCTAGAAGCAGGATTTATCTTTGGAAAAAAAAAACTTATTATACTGGCATTTTTCATGGATTGCAGAGAAAAGACAAAATATACTGAAAGTACAGCTATACATGAAAACATTTGTTAAGTAATAACATGGATGTGAAATGTTGAATGTGTTGTTGGTTAAATAGAACCATCTTTATTATGACAAGGATTAAGATCAGTTCAAGACTGTAGAAAATCAGCTTTCCTAAGGGTTTTACAAACAACATTTTCTGAAAACTGAAAAATCTAGCAAAACAGATTTATCTTTTTTCTCTTGAAAACTAAAGGAAAATAGAAAATG